TCCTAAAGTGTCATGAAGTGTCCTAAAGTGTCATGAAGTGTCCTAAAGTGTCTTGAAGTGTCCTAAAGTGTCATGAAGTGTCCTAAAGTGTCTTGAAGTGTCCTAAAGTGTCTTGAAGTGTCCTAAAGTGTCTTGAAGTGTCCTAAAGTGTCTTGAAGTGTCCTAAAGTGTCATGAAGTGTCCTAAAGTGTCTTGAAGTGTCCTAAAGTGTCCTGAAGTGTCCTAAAGTGTCATGAAGTGTCCTAAAGTGTCTTGAAGTGTCCTAAAGTGTCATGAAGTGTCCTAAAGTGTCATGAAGTGTCCTAAAGTGTCTTGAAGTGTCCTAAAGTGTCATGAAGTGTCCTAAAGTGTCATGAAGTGTCCTAAAGTGTCATGAAGTGTCCTAAAGTGTCTTGAAGTGTCCTAAAGTGTCCTAAAGTGTCATGAAGTGTCCTAAAGTGTCTTGAAGTGTCCTAAAGTGTCATGAAGTGTCCTAAAGTGTCATGAAGTGTCCTAAAGTGTCATGAAGTGTCCTAAAGTGTCGGAGTGTTCTAAAGTGTCCTGAAGTGTTCTAAAGTGTCAAAGTATCCTTAAGTGTTAATGTGCCATAAAGTGTCAGTAGCCTAAAGTGCCCTAAATTCACTTCTAAAGTGCCTTATAAACCCATATTATTTCATAGTGTCAAAGTGGCATACGTGTCATAAATTCTCGAATAATTATAAAGTGTCCAAGCAACATATATTAATGTCATGCGGTGTCGAAAAGTGTCGTAACGTGCTGTGAAGTCTCTCAAGGTGTCGTAAGGATGTCATTAATGTCGTAAAGTGTTACAAAGTGTCTTGACCTATCACAAGGTGTAAAGTGCGTCATGGAGTACAACAAGGTGTCGTCAAGTGCCATGAAGTGTCATAAAAGTGTCAAGACGGTGCCAGGAGATGACCCTTTACGGCACCAGGGTTCCCACCAGCACAAGGTAACTATACTACTGTTGTGTTCTGGACATATTAAACAAGTTCTCTTAGTCATCCATTTGACATCCATTTCTGCCTTAGTTGTTCCTGTGAGTTAAGTGTAGATAATCTTGTACGTGTGGGAAGATAGGCGGCAGGTAATATCAACTGTATTTTTCCTTTTCTTTTTCCAGGTAAGTGTGAATTAAAACAGCTCTTCGAGGGACATTAACACACCATATCACAGGTACGTCTAAGTTATCATAATCATTGATTATCGTTTTATTCATCAGTTAAGTCTGGAGTCCTTCGTATCCCACAACAGTTTCAAAGGAACATTACGCTTTCTCATCCATCTTTGAGGACGCGTTTTTAATTTCGACTTTGCATAGCGGTAAAACGCCTTTGTGTTTGACTTGACCTCGCTTGCAATCAGCCTCTGGAACTCCTTTTCTGCCCTTCTACACTCTATCTTTGCTTGGTTTCTGGCTCCTGTCCTGCTCATCGTTTGACCCAACCCACGTCTTGAATTTCTGGGTTTTCTTCTTAACTTTGTCGACCGCCGCATGGTTCATGTGTAGAGATCCCCTCGTATTCCTAGAGGCACTGGGTTTGGTCTTGGGTATATATTTATCGATCAAATGGGTCACTTTACTAGTCATGATATTCAGCGTAGTGTCTGTGTTCTTGTGCCTTTATGAGTCAGGCCAGTTGATAGCTCTCATCTCTTCCCTCATCCCGTTGCAATTTCCCTAGTAATATTTGCACCTTGGCCTGGCCTTATCCTGAACTAGGTAACAGTTTAATCTGAATGACAACACTATATGGTGACTGGTGCCAACTGGGGCAAGGTGTTCCAGTTTGGCCACCATACCCTCCTCGTTTGTTATGATGAGATCTAGTGGCTTGGGTGTTTGCTCCCCTCTGTAATGTGTCGGGTCTCTAACATGTTGGAACAGAAAATTATCTCTCAGAGTTTCTACAAAAAGAGTAGCTGGGTTATTCAAGTATTTGGGGTGAACTCGTTTCTCCAGTCGATGTCGCCATAGTTAAATTCCCCATGATAAGGAGGTGGCTAGGGTTGGGCATCGCCGCGTTGTCTATTAAGGCTCTTAAGTTCCTTTAATTTACTGGGCCACAGTTTGGGGATCTGTAGATACACCCGACGATAAGTAAGTCTCCTCCATTTAATTTAATTTTACACCACTTGGACTCTTAAAATACATCCTCTCCCTGTACCGTCGCTTGGCTGGCTCTAAGGTCTTGCCTAGCATAGATAACCACACCCCTCTTTAAAGTTTCTTGAGAAAGGTTCGTAAATGAGTCATATCCAGCAATACTGAACTCGCATTCCTCTGGGTTGATTCTCCTGTTCTTGTACAACAGTTCGACAACTCCCACAATATCTGGTTGGTGTAGTTTCAGTAGAGTTTCAAACTCCTGTCTCTTATCAAGAAACGTGTCAGTATTAGTGTACATGACATTCAAGCCAGAATTTGTTCTCGGTAACGTCTCTGCTCTTAGTAGTAACCCCCAACCCCCTCCCCCATTCTCAGAAGCTGCAGCATTTCTTCAGATTCATAGTCACCTACAATGTTGTCCCAGTCAATATTTCTGAAGTTGAAATCCCCCATAATGCACAGGTTGTTGTATTTGGCTGCCCTACTCATTTCCTGCCATATGGGCTGAGCTGCTTCTTTTCCAAGACTTGGAGGGCCTGTAAATCACTCCCATAATTATTTTTTTTCTCTTCCTTCTGCTATTTCTACCCATACAGACTCGGTTCCTATTTCACCCTTTATTAAATTATTAATACAACATTTTAATGTATCCCTGACGAAGAGTGCGACCCCTCCTCCCTTCCTACCTTCCCTGTCCTTGTGAAAAAGGTTGTACCCTTCTATGTGGTACTCTGATAAAAAGTTCTTGCTCGCTAGATTCATCCAAGTTTCGGTGATTACTGTGAAGTCTACATTCTGGGTACATACAACCGTGGTGTAGTAGTTCCCTCACAGAAGGTGTTATGAGTGGCTTGAAGTGGTGTAGTAGTTCCCTCTAGATGGTGTTATGAGGGGCCTCACATGGTGTAGTAGTTCCCTCACAGATGGTGTTATGAAGAACCTCACATGATGCCCAAGCGGCGAACAAGCCGATCAGTGGTGAAGAGGGTAAAAGTAAAAGTAACTCATTCACTACGTGGTGTCGTAGCATCATGGGGACAGCATGTGGTCCGGTGTCACAGGACCTCACTCACTTAAGCAAGTGAGGTGTGGTCCCAGGCCTCCCTATCATGAACGGATTAACACATAGCTGGTGTTGTTGAGTCTCACAGGCAGTTATCACTGGGTACCTGGGACCTCACCGTGTGAAGGTTAGCTTGGGTACGATTCAGCTGTTACTGTCGAGTTGTTTTTCACCACTATTCAACACTGGTTCCATTCCTTTCCTAAATGAAATAGTAACTTCTGGCGAGAACTTGTTGATATTCCGGTGGGGAGGAGGGTTCAGGGGAGGGAGTTGGTATGGGCCAACATAACAGTTGACCTGACCTGAAGTATAAACTTTACAACTTCTAATGTATATCAATTAAGAGTCATTTACTAATCATGATACAACCACTCGTAAGGTATGAGGCACATGCCCTTCCTCCGAACCCTACCCCACCCTATACTGCTCTCCAATCCCTCTACACAGCTCCCCCCTAATGCACACTGCCACCTCCATTCCTAGCACACCCCTACAACTCACATCCCCTTTCTAGGTCTTCCCGTTTCTTCACACTATTGTTACATTATTAGGTAAATGTGACAGGCAGACATGTTTATTTTATCAATATTCTGGCGAGGTTTGTACATTTGATTTAATATAAGGATTTTTTTTACTAGCAAGAATTCTATAGATAAATGTACAAGTAATGTGTACACCCTATACAGGGTGCACCAGGTTGCATACAGTAGGAAAATTAATGCAGATTAGGGAAGATTGCTTAACGAATCAACGAAGGAAAATATAATTTTACACACTGACCATTTATAAAATAATTTAATGAACAACACCCTGGCATATGTGCAATGTCGATTAAATCCTTTTGTGAAGCAAATGTATCTATTAGGCGGATCTTAGGGAGACTTTAAAAATTTTGAAAGATTGAAAATATGATTCACGCCGTCTTTTGTGATTCACGGCCACCAACATGAGGGTCATAGCTTCAAGCTCGCCAAGTTGTCCTGCAAAACGACCATAAGTAAATAGTTCTTCACACAGAGGGTTGTAGATCGATGAAGAACCAACCAGCTCAAGCTGTGAAATCGAGAACAATGCTGGGCTTCGAAATATCCGTCAACAATACTACCAAGAACACTGGAGGGTTCCTACATAGGCCATACAGGCTAATGAAGTAAATAGGAGATAAAAGGTCCTTGGTTCAATCCCCGGCACAGGACACATGTCAGACACTACCACACATTGTAGGGTTTCTCCGGCTCCTGTTTTGTTCTTTACTAACACTGGACAACAAAGGTTATAACAAAGAACAAATCAATCACCCGAGTGGCTAGTAAGACAAAAAGTGGTAAAAAGTTGGGAAATGATAATCATACAGTGTGAATAATAGTTTAAGTTTAGGTTACCCATAGGGCTTCCTTCATCATTTTCTATGGTGGTGATGATCAATTGTTAACATCTCGGGTTTTTTTCGGAACATCAAATATAAGTAAATTTTTACTCTATTAAGCAATGAAAAAATTATTGGTGTTAATTTGTTATGTTAAGTTTTACCAATAATTTGTATTTCAATTTATCAATAGGAGGCTTTATTATTTATGAATTTATTTTCAGGGAGTCTTCCATTCTCTTTTTTGTTATTTTGTCATTATATCAAGCTTTATTAATCAAAACTCACTACTAATATCACTTCCACTGAATTTTAATTAATCATAATAATTGACATAATTAGCGGAAATTTACTAACTATTGTGGTGTAGAAAATTGAGGCTGAACTTGACCATCATTTACACATCTTACTTCTCTCGTGGGAGTTATACAGCTAGTGTTGCAAGGTAAGAGCCTAAGTCATCATGTAGGTCCTGTAGAAGGTATTTAGTGGCGAGTTACTTAGAGTTTATCACTAAGAAGACTGAGTAAGACTGAAGTGTCAACGCTCACCCAAACAACGGACGCGCGCACAAGGAACAAGCCAGGGGGGAAACTCTGTCAAGAAACTACTCTCTTATGATAGTTTATACACGGTGAGAATCTTCAATGAGCTAGTAATGAGAATGACTGATAGTGGGGAAGTGTTATGACGTGTGATTGACAGTTGTAAGGTGCTAGGTGTGAGGGGCTGGCTGACAGGTAGTGTGTGGCTCTGTTCTTGTTTGTCTAAGAACGGTCTCCCACCGCCTGTCATAGTGGTAATATTTGCTGGATGTACACTACAGTAAGCAGATATATATATAGCATTGCTTGTAGCCCTATATCAATGTTATTTAGGCAATACTTTGGATGAGTGACGGAGTGGTAGAAGTTTAATCCAGCTCCTGCACACCTGTATTGTGTAGAGACATTTACAGAAGCCCACACACACACCTTGTTAAAATGGGTAACACGATATAGTGATTAGGAATTATGTCTTACCATTTGTTTTGTTATATAATTTGAGATTATAGCTTGTTAAACCTTCCACAGCTAAATTAATTGTACAGTACCTTACCTGGCCATCCCTTATCTGATCTGTGTTGAATTGCAGGAGCTTCACAAGAACCTTTTGTTACTAACCTACAGGACCATTGTCTTGAGGCTGTTGCTTCATGATGTTTAAGGAGTTGGTATTAGTTATCAGAATTTTTTTTTATGAAAATGTACTTTATTTCTTATCTTGGGTAAATGTTTTTATAGATTGGTTATGTACAGTACAGTACAGTGCTGTAAAATGTGAATCTTTACCCAATCATTTTAGACCAGATCAATATTTAATCATCTGTATTTTGCAATGTGACTGAAATAATTAACCATCCTTGTGCATATAATTTATTGTACAATATTGTGTCATGTTATTATCTTATAGTGTTCCACTGATGAAAACTTTTCTTCCTTTGAGAAAACAGTGAATCAAGTGCATGAATAAAAAATAAAATACTTTTTATTTTGCTATTTTTCTTTTGAAGTTAAAATATGTCCATCTGATGCCAATTTTGTGGTTAATGTATTGTTGTCATACAAACACTTTCAGCAACTGCTATATTGTATCATTAATCTGAGATAACATGAACAAATCTAACAATGATGTAATATCTAGTGGTATTGTTGCATTTTCAACCATTATGCAACTGAAGGTTTTTACTTAAAAATTGAATAATAAGCAAGATATGGCATGCCCTTACTTTGTTTACCTTAAAATTAGAGTCATATTGGTGGGTTCGGTTGGTTCATTATGTCCGGTAAATGAAACGACGTGGCATTTGCTGAAATTGTTCAAAGCTATGGAAACATTATTGGAAGTGTTTGCCTTCAAATGACAACAGATCATATGTGAAAAATAGGGTTTGGTAGCCATGGTGGATGGGCGAAGATTATTTTTATGAAGAAAACCATTATAAGAACAAAAATTTAAAAATTATAATTCTTGCACTTGATTTACAGTTTCCTTGAGGAAAGAACGAAGTTATCTTCAATAGGAAACTAATCAAAAATAGATAATGTAGGTGCACTATTATCATTAAATCTTACCAACCACAGTTTTATCTTTAGAAGAATATTTTTATTTGTAATTTGCAAATCTGGAACCTCATGTGTTAAGTTGGTTTTCCTTGTGTTACTTTATGTTGTCGTTGATATATATATAATAATTGAACATTATCTGGCTTTAACAGTAAGAAACCATTGAGTGAGGTAGAGGGTTCATTGCTTTCAGCTTGCTAAAACAGATATAATTCAGTTATTTATAAAGTCACTGAAGCACTGAATGCTCTTATGCAGTGATTTAGAGGAAAATTATTGTACATATTGGGAGATTCCAAATGCTGAAGATACAGAGGAAAATATACTTCCAGTGAAAAACTCAAGGACTTGGAACAGCCTGCTGGAGAGTGCTGTGACGGCACCAAGTGTGAGCTCTTTCAAGACCAGACTTGACCAACACTGGAGCAGGTTCACATACATTCAAGAGCCAGTGCAGCACTTGCCAACAGTGCATAACAGAGACGTGACCGACCGCCCAAGCAGCTAATGAGCAGATCAGTGGCGAAGAGAATAAAGTAAAGAAAAAAATATACCGTACCTTTTTTATTACAGGTATTCCTCCTATACGAACGTTTAAGATAAAAAAATTCGCTTATACAAATTTTCTAAATTACAGTAAACCTCTTTTTCGTGTTAAAAGCTTCCCCTTCTTTTACAAAATTGGGTTCTGCCAAAAATTTAAATCGCACATCCCTGGGAGCCAGCTTGGGCAGTCACATCCCTACTAGCCCCTTCCCTACCAGGCTGAGGTGTGTTATGTTATGTTATGTTATTATAAATTTTCAACTTGTAATTTTGGGTAGACAAACTTAACTTTCATCACTTTTTTTTTTTTTTTTTTTACTGTTACATGCATGCATAATCCTACATAAATAATGTAAAGAAAAAAATTATAAGAAAATTCACTTAATGATTGTTTTTTTATGAACCTAACCCAGTCGTATAGAGAGGGATACCTGTACCACAATACAAGTGCTTTATAAATTGAGTTACTTTTCTTACAGCAAGTTTTTTGTGTAATAAGGTACCAGTAGTCCTCAAACAGGTATCTCATTTAGCAGTCAGGATGCATTCCTGAAAAACAGATTGCTCAATGAACAGAAACAAGAAGTAATATCCTAAACAAGGGATAATGAGGTATATTATCTACGGGATGGCACCTACAGTAATTGGGTAGCCGACTCTCCACCCAGTAGCCTTCGGAGCGGGTGAGGCTGAGCTGTGAGTGATGTTATTGTTCAACTCTTAATTTCGGGTAGATATACTATGTAATTTTCTTAATTTTCTTTTAGTATTCTTTTACATGCACACAGTCGTTCATCCAGAATGTGAACAAAATCATCATAAGGTCAAAAACATCAAGGGAATAAACAGTTCTTACGTGGTCGTCAGTTAGCCAACAGAGCGGAGGAGCGAGGTGCGGCGTATGGGATCTCTCGGCTGTTCTCTGTCTCGTGTCCTGTGAGTCGTGTGATTCTGCTGCCTGTATGCCATGACGTCACATGGGGAGTGCAGCTGGCCACAAACACTGCCTCAATACAATCCTTCATTTCCCACACATACACACCCATGCTCTGCATATTATAATTTTATTTTACAGTACTATACTGTATACAGTAAAACTATAAAATACTGTACTGTACAGGATACAGTACTGTACAGTATTTTCTTTATTTCTGTGCCACATTACAGTATTGTAATGATACTCATTTAAAACACAGAATCCCCAGTTTTTCCGACTTCCCTCCCAAATTTTTCCCGTCACTTAAAGATCACAAAACCGAAAATTGCAGATCGTTAAACAACAAAGGGTGTTAACAATTTTAAATTGCCAAACCGAAATATTGCTAAATAAACAATCTCTTAAGAACGGCAGATACAGTACCTGTATAAGGAATTTCTAGAGGTAATATGACTAAACTAGCAGTTTTGGGAGTTTATTCCCCGAACGTGTTACTTAAATGTACTTATACAGTGGTTTGTAGATCTATTGGTGGAACTGTGAAAAAACTACTTTGTATAAATAGCTACTTAAGAAATGGCTCTGTGGTTCAGTCTTTCTAATATCAGACAGCTTGGTTTAGGGAAGTGCCAAACTTATGAGGACCACAGCAAACTTTTTATCTCTTGAGTAAGTTCATAGCAATTTTTTCACAGACCTGACACTGGATTCATTAACTACAGTTATATACAGTACATTGAAGCAAATTATATCTGATAAACAAAATTCTTATGACTCCCAGTTCTAAATTATTACCTTAAACAAACTTGCAGATAAGAATGTATTAATGGATTTTACCCCCTCCTAGTCTGTTGGAGGTCAAATGTGACCCATAAGCAGTTTTTTAAATCAAGTGAAGGTATAACGCAGGATAGAAAGTTGTTATTTTACAACTTGTTTTTTGTACTGTATTTAGAGCATTCACTGATGCTATTATTTTGAAAAAAGATCTAAAGTTGTCAGATAGTAAGGCACAATTACTACTATTATGTACACCCAATGTTTACAATGAGAAAGTAGACCCTAGGTGTACAAGGTAGGAATAATATACTATTTATGGCTTAGCACTGTCAGCAAGTTTGCATCAAGTTTGACCTAAACAGACTGCATGGTTGTGTATTTTAATATAAAAGAATGATTAATACCTGTAATTTATGTTGTTCTATTAGTGGGGCAGACTTGTGAAACATTTATGGGTTTTGTGGTAAAAGCACCACAATTGGCACAAATATTGTTGAATATGAACTAAAGGATTTCAGATATACTGTACAGTACTGTGCCAAGCTGAATATTTCACCAGAAGCCTGTACAGTGTATGGGAAAAATCAAAGACGGCCATCTCATAAATTGAAAACTTAAATAGTTCCATATCTTTGGTGATACAGCTAGACCCCGACTTACGACGGGGTTAGGGACCCAAATCCAGGTCGTAAGTCCGAATGGTCGTAAGTCTGACAGATAAAAAAAAAAAAAAAAAAATTAAATAAAAATTCTGCAATGAAATACAGTACAGTAAAAGTAATAAATAATGAGGAATGGATACAGTGTGACTGAGCACTTACCTTTAATGTAGTCAGCCGAATGCACATGGGGCCCCCATAATTTTCTAATTATACATGGAGAATACATTAACTGGAAACGTTTCGGTATAGAAAATGCGTGTCATTTGAAAACAAAAAAAAGAAGTCACAACTGCGGCGGTCGTAAGTCCCGACGGTCGTTAAGTCGAAGCACTCGTAAGTCGGGGTCTAGCTCTGTCACATATAAACATGAATGACATATCCTTTTATTTATTCCAATAAAAGGTTTAGAAATCTTCAGGTGCAATTTTATGTCTTTTCCAATCTTTGATTTATACATACAGAGAACACAAGTTCGTTTTTCTTTTTGGTGGCTTGCACATTGAGGTGACTGCCTGGAGAACTCTCGGAGATTTCCACGATGGCAGTGGCTGGATAAACGCTCTGACTCGAGCAAATATTGCTACATCGGGAACATTTCTCAGGTGTTCACACATCAAATAAACAGGACGTACACAGAACTCGTGCAGTGCTTTATCAGTTATCCTTCATAAACCCTATGACTCGTACAGTAGTGAAGAAATTGAATCCATTCTATTTGATGACGAGAAACAAGTTGAGGCATCTGCACAATTTCAGTACAGGTTGTGTTGTGATTTAACAGCAAGTTTGGGACCAGAGCCTTGTTGTCAAATTAAAGCATGAATCACAGACATACCTTTAAACCTGTACCTGACCATATACTGTTCTGTATTTTGGTAATTAATCAATCAAAATAAATATTTGCACTCCTGCTGCAAACTAAGTTCCTCGTGGAACTTTTTCACCTACTGAATAACAATTTCACCTGAAAGTTTAACACCATTGTTCCTACGCTGACGAAACCACTGCATCAGGCATCCTTACTCCTTCCTGTTTCACATGTATACATATTGTCATTCCTTTCTAAGTGTCACTGTCTCCATAATACTTCAGCAATTTTTCCTTTTGCTCTTTTTAATATCCAACACAGTTGAGCTCCCAACACTGTATCTACAGTTCACACAGTTTCAACACTGATATACACTGTACCTTTGTTAATTGGGATTATGACTTAATTTGTATGTTTTTTGTTTTTTTAATGAATTAAACAATTTGATTATAAAAAAGAATCTGAATTAACTGAGCAGTTCTGAAAAGTCAATTATCATTACAGGAATAAATTGTGAAATAGATTAAGAGGAATGAATTATGGGAATAAATTATGAATTATATTAAGATACTGTACAAAACTACGTTTGGTGTGTAACCGGGGTGAGGAGGAGAGAGGGAGGACGACGCTATGCAATTCACCATTATTCCCATGTTATTTAGGTTCATTAGGTGTCGGGTTAATAGAACATTATCAAAAAATAATTAATTTTCTCCCCAATTCAGTCCCAGATGAGCTATTGCGCCATAGTATATTCTCCGTCTCTTGTTTACAGAACAGTAACAGCTGATCAGTAGGTAGTTGGCAGCTACCAAAGAGGGAGGTACTACCGTCTGGGAAGATATTGGAAACAGAATGTGTTGTCTAATGGTAGACCCTGCTGCCATATGTGACCAAGTCCCAGGTTGATGATCTGACTTTCTGCCTCATTTACACACAATTGCAGGGTCTCAATTGTTTCTCTTAAGGTGCCCACACACTATCAAATATGTTTGTCAAACATGGTGTTTGATCATACAAATTTGAGTGTGGGCAAACCAACATGTTTGAAGAAGATTAAACAAGTTTGATATTTTCTCGTCCAACATGACGTTTGTCAAGCATGTTGGATGGTATGTGGCAATGTATGTTCAAACATGCTCAATCGAGTAGCAGTAGCCTTGGCGAGCGCACTGGACTCCCGTGAGTTTTGGAGAGAGTTTATTGAACTTTATAAGCAGTCTCCATCATTGTGGCAAATAAGAAGTGAAGCTTACAACAATAGATCTCTTAACCCTACCTGGTGCAGGTGTCTGGCATCAGTATCTATTACAGTACGTAAAGGAGTGAGTGTTAAGTTCTGGTGACCATTATGGCCACAATGTCATACAGCACAGTTTATTTGTTTTATTAATTCTCCAGTCCTTCTTCCTGTCTCTTAAATATTTTGCATAATTTTTTTCCGTACATTCTAATGAGTTTGTTACGATACTTATGTATAGATATACTGTATAATGTACATAATACAAACATGTATCTGGTGTAGATCTCGCGCATCTGTACATAATCTATAGTTTGTAATGCAGTGTGTTAGGGGCGACTGTAGGCTGAGGAGACCGTTATGGCCAGGTTATCGTACCGCATTTTTTTATTTTATATTTCTTCCTGTGTCATAAATAATTTACATATTCTTCAATACATTCTAACGAGTTTGCTACGATACTTATATATAGGACTTATGTATAAGTAATATGCTAACTGTATAAATTTATACAAATCAAAATTGGGATTGTCGACTTGTAATCTTATAGCTATTTGATTTGATGTAAGTAAATAAGAGTGACACAGACAGTACAAGGAAAATTTTCAGGATTATCAAGAAAATTATAAGATCATTTAGTGTATATTATGTTTACCTATAAATGTTTTATAAAGAAAGTGTTTAGCTACTGTAGAGCAGTGAGTTCTAGGCTTGGGCAAACAGTATTGGCCAAATATTGTACAGTAAACTTATTTGTTTCTTTACTTCCTCTTTCATTAGTCAGTGACATATGTTTGTTTCTTTACATCCTGAAGAATTTACAACAATAGTTATGTGAACAGTTACTGTTGCCTGGCTCTCACATTATATATACGATGCCAAGTCATACAACTATAGTTAGCAGGCCTACCATATTGTCCTTGTTTCCTTGTTAAGAGTAAATAGAATTTCCATTGGCAGCATAACTATGAGTGAAAATCTATTACCGGTACTTGGTTATTGGACTATGTACGCTCTCCCAAAAGAGTATTGCCCCCTCCCGGCCTGATGTATTTGGAAATGAACGCAGTAACACGCGCACAACAGTCTCGGTTCGATTGGTATTTCTGATTGTGAGGAGTTGCACCTTTCGTTCTTTCTTCGTGCACCTGCTGTCACCGTGATACCTGCAGTATACCACCTTTTCTCTACATAACGTAATGAAATAGAATGATTTGTGGTACCATAATGAAAAACTAATAACGTCACGGGTAACCCCTCTGATTTATGCACCTTAGATACTATTTCAGCCTCGGGATGGGTTGCCAAATAGGAATATAACGTTACTATGTTTTCATGAACCGAGGTTAAAGTGGAATCGCTTCAAATGAAATATGAAACGCTATAATCCGATATTATATTCATTTGCCATATCCAGTTATATTAACATTATGGTTCACTGTATTTCGATATTATTTCAACTTCAGTTAATGAGGTAATATAACGTATCATCTCATGATTGGTGCTGGCAACGGAACATTATCTGATACACACTATGAGGTGATGTGGTCAAGTCCTCCCTTGGAATTGACAGTCACTATGGAGACATCACAGGCAACATGAGAGGGTGGATATACTAAACATTGATAGGTAAAAACTCTAATAATAAAATTAAAAAGTAAAAAACATCTCTGAATATTGTTTTCATTTCCTAGAATGCATTGTCATTGCCTCACCTAACCTAGTGTTATTATTTGATAGTCATTAGCACTATATTACTATTATACCTATTACAGTTACAATGAGGTAAACATAATGATAACAATCATTGATTTATAGCTATGCTGTTATTCAGAAAGTGACATCTCTCCATGTCTGTCTGTTCAAGCCGTGTCTTCCAATGAGTCTCGGGTACTAGTGTTGGCCATGGATTTCCAGCAGAAAACACCCATTATATGACCGTCGTTGATATATTATTCGATGCATTAATATCATTACGGCTGTATATTATTCTATTAAAGATGGAGTACAGTGATTCACCATAATTACTTCAAATGTCAGAAATAATAACTGGCAACTCACAGACACTAGGAAGGCAGGTCTACCAACATAATGCAGGGATCACATTTAGTTATCAGAAATATTCATCCATTGTGACACATTGTATCAATGAGGAAAGGGGCCAATACTTTTTGGGAGAGTGTACATATGCTTAAATATGTAAAATAAAATATATTAAGAAATTCAGAAAGTGAACAGGGTAAATTGAAGGGAAAAATTTTAATGTTTTTTTTTAAATATCAGAGTACAGTATGGAAAAATGTGATTATTGTGGCAGTTTTGAGAGATTATATGGCTTTTAGTGCAGAACGTTTGTGCCAAAATTATGAAATGGAACTATTAGTGGAGGAAGGGTTATGAATCTTTCATCTTGAAATACCAACGTATTTTAAAAGACTGACAGAAACAACTCGCAGTCGGCCATGATTTTGCATATAGGGATATTGAAATACCACACGTGTATATGTACAATAGGAAAATTTACTATGGTGAAAAAAATTTACAATAGCTATAAGTATTTCCACACTAATCTGGCCCATAAGCCACGCCCCTTTTCTATACTAATAGGTGATTGGTTCATAGAAAATTCGAACTAAATGTGTTCACAATTGTTAAGCAGACCTGCTATTATCTAAAATAATGTTAATTATCTGAACTATCAAAATGCAAATGATTTCAAGGCATAAGCACTTCAGAGAGGGTGTTAGAAAATTTTTAATATTTATCATAAAAGTTCGATAAAAATACGAGCTTGTACACGCGCAGTCTAGGGGGAGGTAAGACGCTCAAGGGAACCAATCGGTTATTTGTAGCTATGGACGAGGGGCGTGGCTTATGGGCCAGGTTAGGGTATAGGACTTTAGAGCCGTGAGCGTTAATCACACGTCTGGCAGAGTGTGTTGGCAGCACCGTCTTTCTCACAACTGTTCGTCCGAGTTTTATATTGTTTCATGTTCATTTTTTTTTTTTTTACCATAAATCCAATAAAAGAGAATTCATTGGACGGAAAAGACAATAATCACTAAGTAATTAGGTTGTTTTTCATATTTTCATAAGTTTTGTAGGAGAATTAAGGAAGTCTGTGTGTATATAGCTAAATATGTACCAAGGAATAGGCTGAGAGAGGGGCTAAAAGAGCCCCGTCCAGCGCCAGGTAATGTTAAACAAGAATGTTATGGAAAATTAGCAGAAAAGATGAAATAAATCATCCCTACTGCGACCAAGGCAACTGTGACTAAGAGGATTAATTCCTTCAACACCAGCTACAGGAAGGAATTATAGAAAGCTCTTATAATCTTGAGATGATACCACTAGTTCCTTTAATAGGGCATCAGGAGAGAACTTTGGTCTTTTTCTGTGCCATTCCTTCAGCCATAATTTTCTTTTTCGTTTTTCTTTAAAGTCTCTGTTTCAAGAGCAAGTATAATAGTAATACAGGCTGCCTCCTTACTCATGTTGTCACCCAGTGTTGAGGCGGCGAGTACCAGACGCCAACTGAAGTTTGATCATTGTGGTTGTAAAGTGTGTGGCGATGTATGATCAATCATCATGTTTGACAAACATATTTGATAGTGTGTGGTCGCCTTTATTTTGACAACACAGCATACATACAGGTACAGGTTGTACCTCTCTAGTCCGGCATTCTGTGGTGCGGAAACTCCCGTGGTCCGGAACGATTCTAGTTTGTCCAATAGGTAGATAGGCAGCTTTTTTTTTTTTTTTTTTTTTATCTGAATTATTATTATTATTACAGGAGTATTAAATTTTTGCCCCTCAGGCCCCAATGTGGGTCAGTGACCTATGCCCGGGTGGGCTAATCCCCTTAAAAAAAAAAAAGCCGCGGGAAATTAAGGTTTGTTTACATCCGGCAGTTCGGCTGCTCTCTCTCTCTCTGCTTGTCTATACAGAGTACAACATTTAACCCTTCAATATATATGAGCAGTAAATAAGTGTTGCTTTCATATTCTTATGTAGAGTAATGACGATATATTTTCACATGTGCGCACTTACATACGAGCAGTCTCACTTTTTTTTTTACCATTAATGGTTAGCTACTTATATTGTTCCATTTATTAACATTAAATAACATTACAGGTACTTCAAGCAACCATATTCATTCTTTACATTAATTTTACTACAGCTAAACTCAGGGTCTTATTTTCTTCAGTTTTATATGTAGAACCAATCAGTCACTGGTTTCGTAAGCTTTAACATAAACAATGCCGGCAGCCGTCTCGTCTCCTCTAATATTCCACGTATTATTAATAAATTGTATTGTTAATTTTGCACACACGTACATTAGTTCAATAAAAACAAATTCAGAAACATTAATTAAAATATATATGAACAGTAAATAAGTGTTGCTTTCATATTCTTATGTAAAGTAATGACGATATGTTTTCACGTGTGCGCATGCACACTTACATATGCGATCTCTCTTTTTCTTTACCATTATCGTTAGCTACTTCTATTGTTCCATTTATTAACATTAAATAACATTACTTAAAACAACCATATTAATTTTACTACTGCTACAACCAAGGTCTTAATTTCTTCAGTTTTATATGTAGAACCAGTCAGTCACTGGTTTTGTAATCAACGAAAACAATGCTGTGTCATTTCCTCGTGTGTTTTAATATTCTACGTATTATTAATGAATTGTATTGCTCATTTTGCACATATAAACATTAATTCAATAAAAAAGACATTCAGTAATAAACAATAATGAATCTTTTGTACATAAGAGAAATGACCCTGTTTACACGATTATGCACGTCGTCTGCACGTTGGCGGGCCGTTCAAACCCGTCGAAATTCAAGTTTCTGCCGTCAAAATTTTTATTTATTTACTTTTTTGTGTGTTCCAATAAAATACGTTAAGAATTAAAAACGCGCGAAATTTGAGAAGCTACTATACGACATTTAACCCTTCAATATGTCTTCAAAGAGACCATGACGCAGAGAAAGTGGTGCTAGTGCTTCCAGGCATAAGCACAAGTCACTATCGAACCAGGAAAAGGGTGAATTTCCATGG